CCCCGATACAAAGCTCGACTGATACTAGTGCTCCGATTAATGTTTGAGTTCCTTGTGGATGTTGTTAAATCAGAATTGCTACTCTTCAGCAGATGAAAGTTGCTTACTATCCCCAGAAGAGTCGAGATTGTATTTTACCCCGCATCAGAGTAGGATCAGGAGTATCCCCAGCAGATTAAGATTGATATCCTTGATAGTAGGGGCATTTCCAGCAGTGTGCTGTGTGCAATCAACCCCAGTGTGGGTCGATCCCCGCAGAGCACAATCAGTTGCTAATGGTTTGAAGGGAGCATCCCCAAGCAGAGTTATTTTTTTCTTTCCCCAGTGAAGTCGCCAAGCAGGGTTGCCTTTCCATTTCTCCAGCAGGACGGTTATCCACAGCGGATTTGGTTTCCCTTTTCCAGCATTTATTTTGCCGAGAGGGTTCTGTGACTTCGGTTCATCCCCAGTAGAGTTGACATTGCCTTCGGCATTTATTTTGCCAAGTGGTTGCAGACCTGGTGTTCTCTGGCAGCTCGAGCCTGCATTAGCATTTGCATATATAGTCATAGCATTTATTCAAACACATAGCCTTTCCACGCCGTCTGGGCCTCGCATTTTCAAACAAAACGCATAGCGTTTACATGTCATATAGGGCATTGCATCATATCAGGCATACACATTTCGAAACATGGACCAGGTGGGCTACCTATTGGATTTCGAATTTGTTCCCCCGCAGAGTTGTGTGATTAAGCTTCTCTTCTCCCCCAGCGGAGTGATTCTTCATATTTGGTTGTTACGTCGACACTGAAAAAGAGATTGACATATATCAGATTTCTGAAGTCGCCTCCTGTTGACAGAATAGGTGTCGAGCAGTCGATTCAGAATTTCCCCAGGAGAATTGTCCTCAAGTTCGCCGTGAACTGTGAGATGACAGGATTTGATCCCATAAGAGAGATGGGAATCAAGTCGTTTGCTTTTCGAAGCATTATTCCAATACTTGTGGCGTCACACAGGTGATTGATTGTGACAAGGAGAAGAAAATTTATCAGAAAATTGACCAGTTGTTGCCGTGACAACCAGACTTCAGTTCATTGGAGGCTATTCCTCAAGTAGTGTTGCAGTATATTCCCGCGGTTGGCAAATTTCAGGGTCTCATTGGTATTCAACCGTCATCTACCTTTGAATGTTTGAAGGCTGAGCGCTCTTCAACCATTCAGGTCCAAGCCGCTTGAATAGGGGCAGCTGTTGCACCCTAAAATTTGACCAACCGGGTCCCGCCTCTGGTCCTATGTTTCGACGCATGACCGCATTCGCATCTGCATATCGCATACAGTGCATTTTTCATTTGTCTTGATTTTATCGGGATCACAACCCTCGTCTCGCGTCTCAGGTGTTTTTAATCAGTTTAGATAGGTAGAATCGTATTTTTGGGAAGTCATGCTATTCCCGATGTTTTCAGCTCGCGCTGTTGTTTTTAGGGATATTTCGGTGTCCGTTGATTTTTACCGGCTATTTTGATGCGCTCTCGCGGTGTTATTTGTCGTTCGGTGCTATTTTTGTTCCCTCAGGAATTATTATGATTTTTCTAGATTTTATTATGCATTATTAGGGTTTTAATAGATTTTTAATCATTTTAGGATAATATAGAATATTAATAGTTTTAATATTTTCAATAGTTTTTCTAGAATATATTAGATAGATTTTATCATTTTCTTAATAGGATAATGTAGATTTTATTTTAGATAATATAGAAATAATATAGTTGTTTTTTAATAGAAGTTTAATGGAATTAATCTTTTTTAGAATATATTAGATATTAAATAGATTTTTTTATCATTTTTCTTAATAGAATAATATAGATTTTCTTGATAGAATTTTAATAGATTTTAGTTTAGAGTATAGTTTTAATAGATATTAGGAGTTAATATAGATTGTTTTTAGAATATTTCTTTTAATATAGAATATAGTTGTTCTTTTATTATAGATTTTCTTAATAGAAAATTAATAGGTTTTAATCTAGAATGTAATTGGTTTCACTTTGTTTATAGAATTTTCTAGGTTTAATTAGTTAGAATAGTTTTCAGGTTTAATTAGATTAATTAGGTCTTGGTTAATTAGGATTAATCACGTTAGTTTTAATCAATTAGTTTTTAATCATTTTTTATCTCAATGCAGTTTTTTTTGGGGTTATTCATCATTTTCGTTTGGGCCTGATTATCCAAACTCATTCGTAAGGCCCAGTTTATTGGTTTTTTTCTGTCCATTTTCCAGAAGAATCCAGAAATTGCCATTGGTATATATTCAGAGCACCACGTGTAAACACGAGGAGGAAGCCACGTTTTCCATTTCCACACTGCCACACCTCACACTTCCCTTCACCCTCAGTGCCACGCCACACACACGTGGCATCCATGCATCAGACCCCTCCACCAGCCACACCACGTGTCTGCACCTGAGCCCCCACCGGTTGCATGGCCGGCGGCCATGCAACCACCGCCCAACCCAGCTCCGGCCACCGTAACAAATCACCCAACTACCTCCGGCCACCGTCAACCCGCCGGAAAACTGAAATCCTCAGAATTCATCCATAATCAACAACTCACAGGGAGCTTCATCACCTTCAACCGATCACCATCTCCGATCATCATCTTGCCCTTCCGATCAACATCCAACCTCAACCATCATCTTCACATTCGTCTTGTTCTTCCTATGTTTTCCCAGAAAATGATTACTAACAAGTCTTCAACAGAGGACCTTCATGATCTTCACCAACTTGCATCAGTCGTTCGTAGATCCTCATACACGTTCCTCAGATTTGCCCTAGTTCGTTCAAGAACATCATCATTGTTCTTCACAAGATTTTCCAGATCTTCAACAAGCTTCAAGAACGCCGTGTTCATCCAGAAGCTTCAACAAACTTCCTTCGAGTGATCTTCGTCAGACTCTTCAATAATCGTCTCCAGAAAATCGTTTGCAAGAACTTCATCAAGTTCATCGAGTCTATTTCTCAGATCCAGAAGCATTTATCGAGTTCAACCGCGTCTTCATAATTTCCAGATTCACATGCAAGAGCTTCTTCTTCTGGAGACTTTGAATCTTCATCAACAACTCGCGACTCCTTCATACCTTCATCGTTCAGTAGATCCTTCAAGATCTGCTTCAATGTTCAACCTTCCATCAAGATTTCCTCACAGATCTTCGGCTTCACTTTCATTTTTCCAACGACGTCTCTTTTTTGGGGATCGTTTTGTGTTGAATTTGTTTTGAGGTGAAGCAAGCAGAGAGAGGTCAGAGACGAAGAAAGGATGGTTGTGACGGCGGTGAACAGTAGAAGGAGAGAGCAAGAGGAGGCTAGGGTTTTCTGAACGAAATGAGAAGGAAAGTGAGATTGGAGTGGACCGAGTTTGGGTTGGGCCTCTGAAGCCCAATGTTTTGCACATTCACCCCCCCGTTTTTGGCAACACCTCCCTCCGTCTGTTCCTTGCTTTGGTGTTGGGCTTGGGCCCAACGAGATTTCTGATTCCACCCTGCGTTTTGGATCATACCCCCTCCCAGTTTTTTTGTTTGATTTTTTTCTGGGCTGGGCCCAATGTTTTTGCTGCTTGCACCCCTTTGTAGCAGCTGTCCCCCCCCCCCTCCCTTTTTTTGTATTCTTCTTTTTTATTATTTCTTTTGTTTAAAGATTTTAAATATGGAGAAAAATATATAGAAAAAATATGGAGAAAAATATATAGAAAAAAATATGGAGAAAAATATATAGAAAAAATATGGAGAAAAATATATAGAAAAAATATGGAGAAAAATATATGAAAAAGAATGTTGAGAAAAAATAGAAAAAGGAAAAGAAGAGAAAATATTTTAAAGAAAAGAATTATTGAAAAAATATGAAAAGAATAAAGAAAAAATAGTAAAAAATATTAGTGTAGATTTAATATTTTTTAGAGTACATTTTTTCATAGAAATTCTTTTACACCTTTTTAGAGGTAGTTTAGAATGTCCACTTGTTAGGGGACTATTTTCCACTTGATTTTTCATAGGATAGGGTAGTATTTCCTAGGGTTTTATTTTTAGTATTCAAGCATTGTAACCATTTTTCAGAATGTTAATAAAATGAGATTTGAGCTGTGGTCCCGAAAGTAGCCGAACTACAGCTGCTCTGATTTCTCGTACCAGACGAGAATATGTAGGCATAGGATGCGATATCCTAGCGAGCACACTAACAATTAACCTTTTGTTCTCTCGTTGCTGTGCGATCGAGACTTTCCCGCTGACAACTGATTGTTACCCTTTTTCTCTCTTGCCCGAGTGCATTTGAGACCAGACCGTAGTTTTTTCCATAGGTTCCCGTACCTGTAAAACCAGTTTGATTTCTCACTGCTGTGTGAGAACGCCCTGCTTAGCTGTAGTTAGCCTGAACTACGTAAAGCTTTGATCTTCCATGCAGTGTGGAAGTACGTAGGCACAAGACGCGAGGTCTTGGCGAGCCAATTTTCCCGTAGTCCCGAACTACGTTGACTCTGACTTTCTCTCTTGAGAATACGTAGGCATAGAGTGCGACGCTCTATCGAGTCAATTCCCTTCTGTTTAGATTTAGCAGCCGTAGATAGATTGTTTTTGCATCCTGTAGACAACCCAAGCAAGCGTGGATCCCGTCGAGTACGATGGACGTGAGGGGTGCTAATACCTTCCCCTTGCGTAACCGACTCCCGAACGTCGGTTTTGGTTGCGATGACCATGCCTTTTCCCGTTTTTTGCGAGGTTTACTTCGAGCGTTTCCTTTCCCTCCGTTGGGATAAATAACGCACGGTGGCGACTCTTCTGTCAGCCGACACCGATTTTCGCAGTAGCGACACATACGCAATATGCCGATGCTGCTAGCTGAATGGAAACCAAACTTCAATTTGAAGAATGATATGTTACGCACAATCCTGGTATGGATTCAACTTCCTCAACTACCGTTGCACCTATGGGGAGCTAATAATTTAGGGAAGATAACGAGTGTGCTAGGTACCCCGTTGATGACTGATGAATGTACCACGAATAGATACCGTATCTCGTATGCTAGAGTTCTTGTTGAAATTGATATTACACAAGATCTCCTTTCTGAAATCACTATAACATATGAGAGAGGAGAGAAGATGCAACAAAGAGTAGAATATGAATGGAGACCTCCATACTGTACAAAATGCCAGCGGATTGGACACAAATGTGAGGAGATGCATCTGAAGAACCCAACCAAGCAGTGGATCCCAAAAGAGAAAAAGCACCAAGATGATATTGTGGCTGTAAAGGAAGTGGAGACATTGAAGACACCAACACAGAAAGTTACAAGACAGGAACATACTATATCTGGATCAATTGTGCGAATGACGAATAGCAAACAAACAGATACAGATGAAGGTATGGCGTGGACAGAGGTGAGGAGGAAAGACAAAGTAAAGGCCAATGGTTTTGATACTGGTTCAAGTCCAAAAAACAAGAAGCCAATGAAAAATGACAGGAACCTTTATGCAACCCTCGGTGATGATCCAGCCTCGGTGTTCCTAGACGATGTCCCATGATTGTCTCTTGGAATATCAGAGGGCTGAATAAAGCAGGCAAAGTTAGGGAGATCAGCTCTCGTCTCCAAAAACTCGCCCCTGCAATATCTGTGTTAATTGAAACTAGAGTTAAGGAAAAGAATGCAATTTGTATTCGTCGAAAATTGAGATTAGAAGGCAACTATATAGATAACTATTCTCACCATGATAATGGCAGAATTTGGATCCATTGGGATGAGAAGAAAAGGAACATGGCACTGGTGGAAAGCACAGATCAGCTGATTCACTGCAAGATTAATGATGTTAATGGAAATTTTCTGTTTTGGTTGACAGCCATTTATGCACATAACCAGCTGCAATGCAGGAAGGAATTGTGTCAGGATATTGAAAGGATTAATGCACAACAAAATGGGCCTTGGATCCTAGTAGGTGATTATAACAACGTGATGAAAACTGAAGACAGAATTGGCGGTAACGATGTTACAGAGCAAGAATACATAGACTTGACTGAGATGATGAGTAATACGTGTTTATATGAAAAGGATAGTGGTGGAGACTACTTCACATGGTCGAATAAACAGGGGGATAATGCTATTTACTCTAGAATTGATCATGTCCTCTGTAACGTTGAATGGATGCAACAGAACGGTAATACGACGTTAACGAATATGAACCCCAGTATATCAGGCCATGCCATGATTGTGTTACATGACAGTATTAAAGCCCAGCGGCCTAAAAAACAGTTTCGATTTATAAACTGCTGTGCTGAAATGGATAACTTTCAGGAAATAGTCAAGAACAATTGGGACATGCCGCTAGTAGGAAATCCAATGTTTGCTGTTTGGAAGAAATTGCAAAGGTTACAACCCCACATCAGGAAGTTGAGCAAACCGTTGGCTGAGATTCACAAGGAAATTGCTCGAGCTCGTAATGATTTGAACAAGGCGCATGATACTTTAATGACTGATAGATTGGATTCAGGAAAGATTCATATGGTTAAGAAATGTTCTGATAATATTATTAGGCTACAAGAGATGGATGATAGTATGGTGAGGCAACGAGCTAAAATTGACTGGCTGCGGCTTAGTGACGGTAACAATAAGTATTTTCATGCCTCTATTATGATGTGACAACAACTTAATAACATGACACGAATTCAAAGAATAGATGCTACATTTATTACATATCAACAAGGAATGGAAAATAAAGTGATCTCTTTCTATAGGAAGCTAATGGGTACAAAAATGAACTACCTTGAAGGCATTGATACAACAGCTATGAGAAATGGCATCCAATTGAACGTTGCGCAGAGCAATATGCTGACGGGGCATGTAACCGAAGAAGAAATCACTACAACTTTACAAGGCATTGGTAATGATAAGGCACCTGGTATTGATGGGTTTGGAGCGTATTTCTACAAGAAAGCCTGGAATATCATCAAAGTGGATGTCATAGCAGCTGTGCAGGAGTTCTTCAAGCATAACCGTTTGTACAAAGCGGCTAATTGTTTTACTGTCACTCTTGTCCCGAAGCACAAGGGCGCGAAAGAAATTAAAGACTATCGACCTATTGCGTGCTGCAGTACCCTGTACAAAATTATTTCCAAGATCTTGGCTAACTGTCTCAGCAAAGTACTAGGTACGATAATTGGTGTGAATCAAGTAGCATTTGTCAAAGGGCAGAGAATTCACAACCATATCTTACTCACGTATGAATTGATTAAGGGATACGAAAGGAGAGGTATTTCCCCCCCGATGTTTTATGCAAATGGATATTCAAAAAGCGTATGATACGGTTGATCGGAATGCGCTTGAAAAGATTTTGATTGAGGTGGGTTGCCCACAACAGTTCACTAAATGGGTGATGACTATGGTTTCCACTGTTTCGTATAAATTTAACGTCAACGGCCAGCTAACAGACATCCTGGAAGTGAAAAGGGGGCTTAGACAAGGCGATCCGATATCACCTATGTTGTTTGTCATTGTTATGGAATGTTTGAACAGGTACTTATACAAGATGCAGGAGGATTGTGACTTCAATTTTCACCCTAAATGCGATAAATTGAAAATCACAAACCTATGCTTTGCAGACGACTTACTTATGTTCTCCAAAGGAGATAAGGTGTCAGTTGAAATGATGATGAACACTTATGGTAAGTTTTCGAAGGCCACCGGTCTCGTAGTAAATCCGCAGAAGTGTCGAATTTACTGTGCTGGCATGGATGAACTGACTAAACAGAATATTATCAAAGCATCGGGGTTCCAAGAGGGTCATCTTCCTTTTAAGTATATGGGGGTGCCGGTAACAGGTAAAAAACTCTCTGTTTGCCATTATGCATCGTTAATTGACAAAATCGTGGGCAAGGTAAAACATTGGACTGCACGGTTATTGACATACGCGGGGATACTTCAATTCATTAACTGTATTATGTTTGCGATGACTAATTATTGGCTCGCTTGTTTTCCTTTCCCCAAAATTGTACTTCAAAGAATAGAATCGATTTATCTCATTTTCCTCTGGACAGGAGGGTTTGAAGGGAGCCGTAAAGCACCAGTAGCATGGAAACAGATTTGTAGCCCTCGTAGCCATGGCGGTTTAAACGTCGTTGGCCTTGAAGTTTAGAATAAAACAACTATAATGAAGCTGCTTTGGAATTTAAGCGGAAAGGAAGATTCACTTTGGGTTAAGTGGGTACAAACGTACTATCTCAAAAACAAAGATCTGATGGAGATCTAGTGTAAACAGAGTGATTCTTGGATAATGAAAGGTATTCTCAATCTCAGGGAGGATTTTCAAAATATGAGCAATCAGGAAGAATTCAAGACCGGGGGGGGGGGGGGGGGGGGGTTAGAATGAGTAATCTGTATGCAAAATTACATGATTGTGGTCAGCCGGTGGAGTGGAGGAATTTGGTGTATGGTAACAACGCAAGACTGCGAGCTAATTTCATGTTGTGGCTTGCTTGCCATGGGAGATTAGCAACGAAAGATAGATTGCATAAGTACGGCATGATTGATGATACTAAGTGTTGTTTCTGCGAGAAAAATGAATCTTTAAACCATCTATTTTTTGAATGTGATCGCTTAAAGAGCGTTTAGACTGAGATCCTAAGATGGGCTCAAATTAACCATACCCCTGGAAATTGGCATAGCGAGCTGAAGTGGCTTATTCAACATGCCAAAGGTAAAGGAGTCTGAGCTGCAGTCATAAAAATGACGATTTCTGAAACCATCTATGAGATATGGCAGGCTCGGAATAATAACATTTTTGAAGAAAAGTCGGAGATCACTACTATAGAAAGAAAAGTCATAGATACTTTAGTGTATAGAGGGTGGAACACTAAAAAACTTAGGAAGTATATAGCTATTTTAATGATAGAGGGGGGTTAGATTGATTGTTAGCTGCTTTTTCCCTTTTGGTCCAGGTTGTCTTGTTTGTAGCTGGATCCAATGGGATCGCTTGTATCTATCATCTTTTTTTAAGTAATATAGTTTTACTTTAAAAAAAAAGTCAGAAGTATCCTGACACCATTTTTTAGAATTAATATTTACACTTCTGCGTTGTTTACCATATTTATATGGTGAATAATATTTTTATTTTTATTCTTAACATTTTTAAAAATAAAAATGTATTATTTATACAAAAAATTGTTTAAAATTTCTTTTTTAACACAAATATAAGATTGTGTTGTTAATCCATTCATTATTGCATTAATTAGAATAATGTATCTTATTAACTACTTATTTTACTTATAACTCCTCAATCACTTTCTACTTCATTAATCAATAAAATATATAATATTAACTATTTTCATACATTAAATCATAAAATATATTTGCTTCGTCCCAAATTACAAGACGTTTTGTACTTTTTACGCAAATGAAGAAGCATAATGATTATTGTATAAGAAAGAAAATTATGCATAAGATTTTAATATTGTTCTTCATTTATTATAGATGAAAGAGAAATTTTAAGAATTGGAAAAAGAAATAGTAATAATTTGGGACAAAAAGTCATTAATGTTGTATTGAAATTGTAAAATGACTTATAATTTGGGACAAATATTTTTGGCAATGTGACTTATAATTTGCGACAGAGGGAGTAGTAACCAATATTTACATTTCATGAATCAAATTTATTTTACTATTTAAATTTTTATTTTTTTATTTTTTTGAACTCATTAACCAATATGAATTGCATTAAACAATCAAATACATACCATTAATCAAAATTGATTTATCATACTTTACTTTTTGAGTCAAAACACTCAATAACCAAATTATAAACTATATTAATCCACTTATTATACTCATTAATTAACCAATTTTATTTTTCCATATAAAATTATTTTTATTACCACTACATATATATTAACCAAATTATAGATTGTGTTAATTAATTTCTTAAAAATTATTAACCAATGTTGTTTTGACGAGAAAAAAAGTAAAAAGTAAAAAATTCAAAATTAAGAGTGCCTTTGTTCATTGTATTTGGGAACAATGACATCTTGGATATGTTTAAGATTTTGATGTCAAATAACATTTTTTTTCAAAAACAAAAAGTCATGTCTTGAGAAATGAATAAAGCGAATTGAGATATTTTTTTCATAAGAAAATATATACCATAAATTCAGTCAGATTCAATTTTTGATAAATCTAAAATTATTATCCAAACTCAATCAAGGAGGTATGTTTATACCCTTTTAAAGATAATTTTCTTTTCCCACCCTTATGGTGTATCTCGCACCTCTGAAAATCCAAAAATGCCCTCAAAAATTTTTATAAATGCATCTCCGAATGTGTAACATCTTTCTACCATAAAGGACATTCACGATAATTAAAACAATTATATCATAGTACATCACCACAAGGGTGCCACATTTCAAAATAACACTTCTTAATAGCGTCTTACTCCGTAACACGGGATCAATCATCATAAATTCAATCAAATACCATGCAACGTAAAAATCACAAATCATAACATAGTTCATAACTCAAATCGCCTTAAAAACAATAACTCATAGCGTCGGGTGTCAACAAGAAAAAGAACATAATGGTTCGACTCAAACGTCCCGACCCGATGTTACATATCAGAGCAAGAACCTCTAACCAACAAAAATAACCATAAGACTTCAAAACTAAATCTTCACGCACCAAGAAAGCTAATCTTGATCGCCTGCACGTTACCCACATAGAGGCAACAATTCCAAGCAGGTAGGGTTAGTAATCACAAATCATTATAAAAGATATAAAAAAAAGATATACAAGTACAACAACATCAACAATTCATATACACCGTCATAGTATCATCAAACCAAATAATCATCATCGTCACACATCACTTAGAAATCACATCATCCTTAACATCATTTACATCACATAGAAATCCATACATCATCATTTACCAAGTATTATACTCATACCTTCCTATCATAGTAACATATATACATATTCTTCATAAAATTTCATCACCAAAACATCACTTAAATCACAACATCATCAAACATCATTTTAACACTCAATTATGCAACACCACATAGTATAAAATACAACAACATAAACTCATGCATGTGGTACCAAACTCATCATATTGATGGACACTGGGCCATCACCTTCCAAAGATCCCTACCAATAGGATCGATTCTACACAAGAACTGAAGCACGTCATAAACACCCCAATCCACACAACGAGGTTGAAACCACCACTGGACCAAAGTCCTAATATCATTACTGGACCGAAGTTCTAACATCATTACTGGACCGTGGTCCTAACACCATCACTGAACCGAAGTATTAAAGTATGTTATAAATGCATGATGCAAAACATCAAAACATCATAGTATGACATGTCATAATAATCATCATCACATCATCACAAAGTTGCATCATCATTCATGAAAATTCATCAAAACATCACAGTATTACATCATCATTATGCATCACAATTATTCATATTACTCCACAAAATTATCATGTTATAGTCATTAAAATACAACATATCAATTACCCAAGGCATACAAATAACACTCAAGGTTCGTCACTTACACCACGACTTCTTAAGGTACACAACAAGCAACAATCACATTCTTCAAGATACTAGACATAAAAATATTAGGAAAATGATTTATATA